GTATAATACAGTTTGTTTTAACCGACCTTGCTTTGATAGCAGTTCGGCTTAACCGCCGCTTTCTAGGAATCTCAGCATTTCCGCTCCCACGCTGGGCGATGAGAACTGAACCATACGCTTATCTCCACAGGATATGACTAAGAATAAGTTATTTTGTATTTATCACAAAAAGTATAGCATAACCTATTGTCAGTTTGTCATCATCGTTTGTGGCTCGAGCACATCTGATCTGATTTGTTATCTGTGCGGCAAATTTATAACATCATAAAGCGCGTTACGATTTTGAGAACTGATTATCTTATCGCTGGAGTAAACAAACAACACAACTTCTAGGGAGGGCAGGGAAGGGGGGTTAACAACTCCAAGGTCAAGATAGTTTTTGTGCCTGCCTCCAGTGAGAGGCTATAAATAAACATCCTGTCTTGTAACAAAATGGTTGCTTGTATCTTTAATTTTGACAAAAGCTTCTATACTGTATTGCGATGGATTTGGAAAGCATAAATGAATACATTACACTACTAAAGTTATTTAAATAGGAATTTTTATTGACTCTTGCCTAGTATTATAATATATTCCACTGAAAGTAGGCCTATTTGACCAGGGCCGGTTCTAGAAATTTTTCAGAGTTAAGCGAACACCCGAATCAGCACCACTTAATTCACCCCCCCCCCCCCCAACCCATGAACATAACTTGTGACCGTATAACCGTATTTGTGAATTTTTTCCCAATAATTTTGGGTTAGAAGAATACTTGCAATAAAAGACTGTTTATAATCCGCAGAAGTTTAACATTTTTACACTTTTACTCATCATACCTTAGCAAAACCAAGGCCACACTAAAAAAAAACAGGCAGTAATGCTCGTCAAGCATGACGTCACGATAGAAGACGGCAATGACGTAATGTTTGCCGTTTGTGATCAGCTGCCTGTTTTAATCTTTCTTTAGAAAATAAATAAATACGTCATTGCCGTCTTCTATCGTGACTTCTTTGGGCTGACTGGACTCGCCACCAGATAATTTCAACAAAAATCTACTCATTGATTTGGCTTGTTTTTTTATCTTCCTCTTCCAAATTTGCCTTACGCTTTCTATAATAAGTGCCAGACATTTTCTTTTTTTATGCCATTGTTTTCTTAGTATCGGCTCTCAAAGATATTTTACTAATTTATTCAGTTTATACTTTCTTCTTATTTAATGCACTAATTATAAATTAAACTTAAAACACTCGTAATCATTCACTTATCAACAATCATGAATCATCAAACGCCAATACGATGCCGATACGGTATACGTATAAAACTAAAAGAGTGCAATACAACGTAATGCTCTGCTCTAGGATAAGAGGCAGAAGGGAGGGAAGGAAGGGGAAAGTTTCTTGTTGTGACAAGTGGCGCTGCGCGCTTGCTTATCTCTATCTCGAGCATGAGTGAGTCGTGAAATGAAACCCACAGGTACCGCGCTGTACGTTGCCGTCGTTGCCGAGCGTCAGCTCATTACGAAACTGAAAATGGTATTGAGTCCTTGAGTTGTAGTGCTGTATACACATTTTTCAAGTGCTGTTGGTACAAACAGAATAAATGCCTTTATTGTGGTGCTTTAAAAAATTGAACTCTGAGCGAAAAAAAACAACAAAATTACGTTGTTCACGTAAAAAAATTTGTTCCGTTGGCGCCAGGGCGCCACTTTTTCATGGCGCCATATGCGGCCGCGTAGTTCGCGTATGGGCTAAACCGGCCCTGTATTTGACTTAACCGTGTTTTGTGTTTATTTGTGACTTTTCTATCAATACGAAAAAGGAGATAAGATTAGTTTATTTAAAATAATGAAAGTATGACTTTAAAATAATGATTATGTAATTCCAAATAAATAGCACTTCATTATGTTATGATTTTAGGGATTGCCCGTTTTGAGTTATCCGACCTTTTGAGTTATCCGACCTAGGTCCGGTCCCATTAGGGTCGGTTAAGAGGGAGTCTACTGTACTATGAAACGGTTTAAACAACAACAAAAATATTAACAGAGCTATATATCACAAGTTCTTGCTTAAAAAGTAAAATGCAATAAAAAAACTAAGTTCAATTCTACTTACTTCAACACTAATCAAACATATTAGAAAGTTGATAAAACTAAAATGACACAATAAGTTAGGTTAATTTCACTGACACACAACTATGATGTTTATATGGTCTGAAAATAATAACCTTAGTAAACTTAATTTTTATTCTAACAGCTGATGATTAAATAAATTGCAGACAAATCTAAGCAAAAACCTAAAACAAATTATTCTCCCACGAACTCCATGCTAACTTTGACCTTCTGTGGGGCGGGGCCCATTGGGAATTTTGTAAAATCGCTTCTTACTGTCTGCTTACGCTATGAGAGGAATATGTATGCAAAAACTCATGCTTCTAGGTGCTATGGTTTGGCCTGTGCGTTGATTGGAATTTCGCATTTATATATACTAGAGATCGTCCAGTGGTCGAAAACTCGACCAAAAATATGTAAATTAAATGAAATGAAAAAAATAAAATAAAATGAAAAATGCTTTATTTATTCAGGCAAAGTTAGGGCCACATGGCCGTTTCTTACACTATGTAATGTACAGTGTAAACCCCACACTGTAAATAAAACATGTGATTGGAATTTGTTTTGATTTTTGTCTAAATTTTGTTGTTATTTCGTCACCATCGTGACAATCCGTAAGGCCCATGTTAATTTTTTGAAGTTTTCAAGTTCATATTTTGTGCTTATTTTTGAGCCTATTTTAAATTATAAAGGGATTCTGCACATCTACAGGAAAATATCTTTCTAACAGTATGCGTAGATTTTCCCTAAGATGCACACGAGCTGAGAAAAAAGGTTTTAAAGAAACAGGCTTGCCTATTAATATATAGATAGATAGATAGATGTGTCCGTTAGCACAATAACTCGAGAAATAATGGTCCAATTTTGATGAAATTTGGTACAAACATGTAAACCTACATTAATTGGAACGGGGTTTGCAAACCAGCATGATCGGACTATGGGAACCGGGGTTTATGGGGTGGGGTAAAAATAGGTTTTTCCCATTTTTGACCCTAAAAACACAAAATTTCAAAATTCATTTCCAAACCATTTTGTAGAGCTTAAAAGACAAATAATTTAGGTATGTTATTTGTTAATGGTCACAAAGAAAATTCCAAAATTTTGTAAATTTAAATTTTCAATGTTATTCTTATGGAGAATAAGTCAACTACTGATGAAGTTTGCTTGTTTATGAACATATTTTGATCAAATTTGGAAAATACATTCATTTGTTACTAAACTACAGTATTAACATTTTACAACAAAAACACTATTTACCCTCCCTGTTGCAGCACACCTATGTACTTGTTAAACTAATTCTATTTAAATAGGGAATAAATGTGACATTTTAAGGAGACATTTTAGTGTAAATCCAATGAGGCAAATGGAAATTCGCTAAGTCTGCAGGTTTGCTGCGGTGGGGGTATTTTTAATCTTGGCAAAGAAAAGGTGTTTAGGTGTTAGACATTAAGCAAACAATGTTTTATTCTTTAATATTATCTATATAATTAATACGCTACATGAAACTTTGTTGGTTGAACTCCTCCGCCATTTCTTAACCGATTTTATCCATTGATGTCTCATTGGAAAGAGCGTGTCGCGTAGATTTGCAAACTGACCTTACATTTTTGAAAAAGTCCCTAGGGCTCTGCCCCAGTGGCTGTTAAAGTTCCCATGTTATACTTATGAAGAACATAATTGAACACTTTGATCAGCTGTATAATTTAATTGCTGTTATTTATTATTCAATTCAATGAAACGCATTGGGTACATTTACTGATTTTGTTGAAATTAAATATTTACTATTTTAATTTACAATCGTATATATTACAATGTAAAAAATCGAGAAAGCATGGGCAATTTGATATATTTTACCAAATAAGAAAAATGAATTGACATAGTACTGTATTTCTTGAGAAATCATTGAAAGAACCGATTTGTTATCCATGGAAACATAGCAAAGTCATAGAACGCCACCAAGTAGAAGAAATAGAGATTAAAAAAAAATTACCATCGTTATCATCCTATATAATGAAAAACACCTACAGCTACAATATGAAGATTCCCACAAACAATGAACAAGGATGTTAGCCAAAGTGCTACTATTTTGTAGGAAACATGGACCTAACTTTATGATGATTGTCAAAGGAAATCCCTATAAGTCTGAATTAAACTGGTGCGGCAAGGACATTAATCATTAAATATATGTTTTCATAAAAGTCAAGTGATTTTAAAAGAATGTAACTACCATCCAAGAAACCTTAATAAAACTTTCAATGAAAGATTCACATTATTCACATTATTATTCACATTTAAGGGAAACAAAAAACCATCTGAACGACATTAGGCCTTTCAATTATGAATTTTTTTAGGTAAATATAGTTTACGATATAACAGTAACTATAGCCAAATGAATGCCAATTTATAAAATTGCGACAGAGAGGCTATGCAGAAAATCAGATAGTTATTAGTCATGTAAACAAAATGTTATCGCTATGAAAAATTGACTGAAATTTGTAAACGTACTGGCGACAATGGGTGGTACCATGCAGACTACATTATCATTGACGAAGATCAACATGGACAACCTAATACGGCTATAAGTGGGAAACATTTAAAAAACCAGATCAGCTTTTGAAAAATGATAAAATATTTACAAGAAATGTTGATTGTATGGAATTGTTAGGTACGCAATCTATAAGTTGAGTCTTTTAAACTTATCAGAAATTATGATGACTTTTATTTGTTTTTAAGTAACTTACTTCTTTGCAATTGTTCGATTTCGAGCAACAAGTACACTAGTAAATCATTCATTTGGTTCCCCACCAATCCATCAACTCAACTACCCTTCTCTTTATCATTATTAGACTTCTTTGGATATACACATTTAAAACAAAAGTGTGAATTTAAGAATTAAGATATACACATAACTTACCAGATATACCACGAAAGGTGCCAGGATGCTTGCCACGTATCCCATGATGTGTATTAGAGCCACACCCTGAGCTCTGACCACTGTAGGCAGTAACTCAGCAGCGTACTGCAGTCCAATGTTATACGAGATGTTGACACTGAATCTTCCCATGATGGCTAGTGATGCTGAGGGTACACCTGTAGTTAAAGTAGCATACATTGGTCTTATGCCTTATTTAGACATTTTGTATCTTACTGCGCTAACAGACAGTAATTATGATAGATTCTGAAATTATGGCGAGCCAGTAACTCCAACTCTTTTGGTAGTGCACCACCTGTGAAACCAAGGCAGCCATGCTGTAAGTTAACTTAAAAACTTAAAATTTATCAGTACAGTATATTCTCATTCAGAACCATCTCATCTTTTGCTTTGCTTGATACATTACATGCACAGAGAGGCCCATGTTTAGTGGCAAATGCAAGGTCAAGAGAGCATTCCTTTACTAAAAAAATATAAAAAATTAAATGTTATTAGCTTTTTACACACAGGTAACTTATCAAGCAGCAGCAAGCAAACCTCACACTCTTGAAATTAACTTTTGTCTGGTCCAAAGAAAATGTCGAAGTGGATATTTTATATTGGAACCAGCTTCAATTATTTTCTGAAGTGACAACCTCTTTAGGTGACAACCTAATTGATCAATTTATTTCTAGGTTATCCTTTAAAATTGCGTATAGAACACCCCCACCAAAAAAAACCCTGCAGAATAAGCGAATTTCAATTTGTCTGATTGGAATTTTACTAGTGGCGTGAATAACACCCCTGCAACCCCCATAGTGCGGGGGGGGGGGGGCGCTGAGGTCTGACTGTCACCGCTCACTGCCATCATAGAAAAGGTGACGTTGTTTCCGTGACCGTGGGAGGCGTTGATGATGTCTTCAAGAGCAAAGGAGATATTAAAGATTTTGCCACAATTGCGGAAAAAGACTTCTCCGTTTTCGTGACCGTCGGAGACGATGATTATGTTTTCAAAACCAAAGAAGATATTCATTATTTTACCGCAATCACGGAAAAAGATGTCGCCCTTTCCGTGACTGCGGGAGACGAAGATGATATCTTCAAGACCAAAGAAGATATTCGTGATTTTGCCGCAATCGCGGGAAGAGATGACGTTTCCATGACCGCAGGAGATGATGATCGCAGGATATACAAGATTTTGCTGCAATCACTTAAAACGATGACGATGTTTCCATGACCGAGGGAGACGATGAAAAAAGTCTGCAAGAGGTTTTTTTATTTTAACACAATCTCGGTTTTGCTGTGGTAAACGATTTAAACATAAGAAAATTAAAATTCATTTTCATAGCCCTAGCGTGATATGACATATAATGATTAAAACATACCTCGTCAGACAATCCTTAACATGTAGTCTCGAAATTGCTACATATGTTTCGGCGGTTATTTACTGATCTCCACCATTGTTAGGCAAACAAAAGGATCCACTTTATGTGTTGTCAGAATAAATAAATAAAACACACATTTTACAAAACATAAAAACGAAAATGATAGGCCTATCAATTACACGCACTGCCGTGGACATGGCAGGAAGCAGACTCCTAAACATCAGTGGTGATGTGCTGTGGGGGAAGGGGCGCCAACCGCTTGTACTGCAAGGGGGGGGGGCACCGCTTGATATACTTTCGCCACTGAATTTTCCTAAAATATTTCCATAAATTAGACAAATAACAAATATACCCCATTTAAATAACATTTGATTTAACGAGTGCTTAGGTTAGGTTTGATACTACAGGGAAGGTAAAGTGTTTTTTTTTTATCAAAAGGTGAATAGTATCTATAGGATGAAATCTATACTATTATAAAAAAGAGGTGGTTGCTGTATGTGTGTATGGGAAAAGTAAACTCGAAAAATACTGGTCGGATTGGGCTGAAATTCGGCATGATGATAGCTCACATTCCCGATTAACATATAGGCATATTCTTATTTCAAAAATCCTTTCGGGCTCCGCCCCAGTGGCTCTGGAGTTTCCCATGTTAACCTTATGAGAAATGGAATTATTGAATCTTAACAGCTGTTTCAATTAAACAAGTTGGTTCTGTTCTATGATGTTCAATAGCATTAAAGTTACAAGGATTACCAACAGGGTGCAGCACTATTATTTCTTTTACATTTATGACAACAGCTAATTTGCAACCAAAAGGTGAGTGAACGTAGCGAACGAACTGCGACCTGGAGGCGAGTTAGCGTAGCGAACGAGCTAACCTGAAGGCAAGTGAGCGCAGCGAACGAGCTCCAACCTAAAGGTGAGTGAGCGTAGCGAACGAGCTCCAACTTAAAGGTGAGTGAGCGTAGCGAACAAACTTCAACCAGGACGTGATTGAGCCATGCGAACGAGATAATCTTGAAAATTAAGAAGTTAAACGGGGCAAAGCCCGCGGGTTACAGCTAGTCATAAATAAATAAATTTGCTAAATTTGATCAACATCCATACATCCATGAGCACGAGCATTTTCCACTACAATTTTCTTTTTCTCCATAAGAATAACATGGGAATCTTAAATGTAACCATATAAATAATATTATACTAGTGGTTGTACAGTGGTCGAAAACTCAACCAAAAATATGTAATATACAGCAGAATTCTCTATTTTCACCCCATGCTGTAAATAACACATGTGATCTGAATTTCTTCCATTTGTTTTGATTTTCTACTTAAATATTTTGTTGTTTTTGTCAATCACCAGCATGGCAACCCATAAGGCCCAAGTTAATAAAAAAAATATTCATTTTTGTACTTATTTTTGAGACTATTTCAATTTGTAAAGGGATTCTGCACATCTAGAGAACAATATCTTTCTAACAGTATGTGTAGATTTTCCCTGTGATGCACAAGAGCTGAGAAAAAAGGTTTTAAAGAAACATACTTGCCTATTAATATACAGGGTTAGTAAAAAGTCTGGAAACCCCCTGTTAATTTTTTAACGGCTCATACTACAATAACTAAACTCGGCACACCTTTATGGCATGGTATGAAGTGATTTTTGGGCATAACTGCCACTCGGTGTACATCCCCAAAATGGGGGATGTTGGGGGGAACTAAAAAATTTCAAACGGTAAGACCCATCAAGTGGCCCCTCATTTTGAAGGTCCTGGTAAAAGAAAACTAACAACACAAACTAGAGGTCTCTATCTCAATCCAGTAAAAAATGGCAGCCAATTGAAATTCTCAGAAGTTAAAATTAACTTACAGCTTTCCAAGTCTGGAGACCCCCTGTAAATTTTGTAACGGCTCACACTAGGAAAACTATACTCTACACACCCATATAGAATGTTATGAAGTACTTTTTGAGCCTAAAGCTACTTGGTTCCCAAGCCCAAAATGGGGGATTTTGGGGGGAACTAAAAAATTTTAAATGTTAAGCCCCATTGAGTAACCCCTCATTTTGAAGGTCATGATAAGAGAAAACGAACAATGCAAACTAGATTGTTCTATCACAGTAAACTATGGCAGCCAATTGAATATACAATTCCAAGTTAATTCTGATTTATACAGATTTTAATCAGCTATCAATTTTTACTGGATCGAGATAGAGACCTCTAGTTTTTGCGTTGTTAGTTTTCTTTTTCACGACCTTCAAAATGAGGGGTCACTCGATGGGGCTTAACGCTAAAATTTTTGAGTTTCCCCCAAAATCCCCCATTTTGGGTTTGGGAACCAAGTAGCTATTAGGCTCAAACAGTACTTCACAACATGCCATAAAGGTGTGTAGAGTTTAGTTTTGCTAGTGTGAGCCGTTACAAAATTTACAGGGGGTCTCCAGACTTTTTACTTACCCTGTATAGATAGATACCAATATATTATAACCAATCTACAGTTTTTTGGAATTTTCTCCGCAACGTTTAATTGTGCAACAACGCTTCAATAAAAAAATTTTTTAAGCCTCACAAGATGGTTGCATTAAAAATCAAGCATTTCCTGGTTTTAAGGGTAAAAATGTTCAAAAAACAATTTTCGAACATTTCAAGCCCCCATAATACCACCTTCTTGTGACCCATGAGAATCTGACCAAAATTACTTGAATTATCGTGTTCACAGACACACACACAGACACACATATAAATATATAAATTAAAATTAAAATAGGTCAAACATATTTTCTACAAGTTTGAAATTGTTAACATAGCAGCCTTTTGTTCCCACTAAGCATTTATCATTTCTGTAGCATGATTGGTAATGGTAATATACTGAAATACCTACTGTAAGTGAAGTGTCAAATGTACCTGTGGGTACAGCTGTGGCTAAGAGACTGAAGATACCACTAAGCACCATGGAGCCACAAGCTAGCCAACGTCTGCCCCAGCGGTCCAGGACCAAGGTGAGGAGCGTGTCAGCTGGAAGCTCTGTAGCGGAGGCTAATGTGAACGTCAGGAACACATCTAGGCCCAACGCTCCCACATTACGAACATGTCCATCAAACACCAGCGATATAGCCATCCTTTATTGGGATAATGTCTCATTAAAACAGGTTTTATTTCTATAAACGGTAGCATTAATGTATTATTTGTAATTTTTATTGTAATTTCTTAAAATGTTCTTTTGCTGAATCATCTCGATTAAGCTTAAGCATCTGATAGCCTCTTTTTGCCTCTTCAGAATGCCATATCCATATTACATTTTTTTTCTTGACCCATATAATGCTAAACCGAATGAAATATGAGAGTGAATGTGAGCAAAATACATACTTTTTAGGGTTTTCAAAATCCAATAAAAGGATATTTAAAGGATAGGATATAATTTAAAATCATTTTCCATTCAAATAAAAAAGTGGTTATTTGAGAACACAAATATAGATTTTTTAAATAGTGTTGTAACATAAAGAATTTTTTATATAAATATTTGCAAATTTAACGTTTTGTGTTGTAATTATTGAATCTGCATATATTGTTTTAAATTGCTGATTTACATTAGTTTATACTGCTTATATAGGATTCATTTTTTAATATATTTTTATTGTGATTATCTATTATTTTTATAACTAGTGTCCCTTTTGCTCGAATTCGAGCAATTGCTAAGTATTACAGGCATTATTTTAAAACGAATTTCAATCAAGTCAGCAAATGTTTGTAGCAAACTGTTAATTTAGCAAACTTATTGACTGTTTACAATTAACATATGCTCTTCTTCTTACTTTTGATTTCTGACAACAGCTGGAGTTTCATAACAATTTTTGTTTCCAATGTTAATCTTATGGAGAAATACACAACTTTAAAGGGCTCCAGGGCCTCACTCTCTAATTATTTCCTTAAAAAGAAAGTTTCCTGCACAACTTCACGTTACGCTCTTTCCAATGACACCAAAAACACGACAATCGGTTCAGTAGTTTCAGAGGAGTAATTGTCACAAAAAATCTGCTTGCGTATTAAATAAGTATAGATATTGTTATTTTGTTTAATTTAACAACTGTCATCAAGACGCCACAGAGAGCGGCAAGGTGTTTTTCATGTGTGGGCTGGACTGAAAATTTATAGAATGTACATTATATTTTTAATTTTTATTGAACGTTGTCACAATTAACTCTGTGGCAACGTAATTCCGAGTTTTTATTTGATTTGTATTTTATGTAATTATGGTGGAATAAATCATTATTTCATTATTTCATATTTTTGATAATGCGAAAATTCCGGAGTTTGTTTTGGTTAAAACTTTCTGTGTGTGTTTATCCCAATTAAAATTTTCATCTATTGTTAAAACCAGAAAGTTGATTTGATTTTCCTTTTGAATGTAATTTGAGTTGTAAGTTATTTTTGGCTCTTTTGTAATTTTCTTCTGTGCTGTTCTGAAATTTATAAATTTAGTTTTTTTGTGAATTTAATAATAAACTATGATTGTAGAAATAGTTTCCAATATTCTCTAATTCTAAATATGTAAAAATTTCAGTTTCTTCTGGAGAGTTAGATGATACAATCAAATTAGAATCATCAGCGTAAAGACATAATTTAGAATTTTGCTTGTAGGTTAAAGTATCTTCCATGCCCTTAAGGTAACACAAAAAAGCAAAGGCTCCAAAATTGAACATTTGTGGCACCCCAAATTTAATTGGTTGATAAGTTGATGATGATTTGATAATTCTATTATGATTTGTCAAACGGGTAATTTCCACGAATTGAGATCTATTTGTCAAATAGGAAGAAAACCAATTAAGAGCTCTTTTAGATATTCCAATTATTTTAAGTTTTTATAGTAATTATCTATTTTTTACACTATCAAACACTTTAGAAAGGTCTATAAATATGCCAATGTCCTTTGTCTACTGATTCAATGACTGATTCGATAAAAGAAACAGCTGCGCTCACAACTGATCTTCGATTCCAGAATCCATGCTGATTATCATCCAAAATATTACATTTTTCCAAATACTCTGAGAATTATAAGTCAATAAGGCATAATAATAATAAATAATGATAACTAATCGTAATAATAATGATTTTTTAAAAATGGTAATGATAGATAATTATAGAAGGCTTTTTCATACACTTTAAAAATTGAAGGAAGAACAGATACTGGGCGATAATTGGATATATTTTCAGGGTGATTTTTTGATGTAAAGGAATTATTTTTGCCTGCTTTAATATGTTAGGAAAAATGCCTGAAACAAACGAAGAATTGATCAGATGACATACAATTTTGCTGATGTAGGTTTTTGCAGCCTTTATAATTGTTACAGGAATTTCATCATGCCCACTGGAGTGTTTATTTTTTAAAGATTGAATGATTTTTTCACCTCCCTTTCAGTGATCGGTTTCAGCTCAAATTTTGGCTTTACAAACAAGTCATCGATAAAATCAGCTTTCACATCAGCCGTCACATTCTGACTGTTACAATTTAACCTTCCATCGGGCGCATCACGGAAGTTACCTCCGGGTCACTATTTTTTTTTGTTATAAAAACCATAGTATGTGTTCGGCTGGTCTGTGGCCTGATTTACTTCACGAACCACTTACAATAGGTGTTTTATTTCAAACACCATTGCATTTTTTTCTAAAGAGCTTTGACAAAGTAAGTTGTCCTTGTGAAATAATTATCTTTTAACGAATTTCCCATATAGGGAATAAGCTATTACCGTAGTACTCATGGTAAGACCTGGACCCGGGACCGATTTAATTTTTCATTTTGAGGTCCCTAGAGGCCAAAAACACCATCCGTTCAAATTCATATATATATATGTAAAAAATATTGATAGTAAAACACAGTTCAGATCCACTCTGAAGACCTGGTTAAAAACAAACATTTTTTTTTCTATAGAATGTTATTTAAATAGGGACGTTAAGTTAGATTAATAATTTAGTAAGACATTTTTGTTATTTCTTAGTTTTAGTATATCCTGTATATGACTTTATGTCCTGTCAAAAAATGATGTAATGACATGTAGTAAATAAATAAATATGTGTCCGTTAGCGCGATAACTCGAGCAAAAATGATCCGATTTTGATGAAATTTGGTACAAACGTGACGTTTATTCGAACGAGTTCGGGATCCAGCATAATCGGACCATGGGAACGAGGGTTTATGGGGGGTTTTATGTGGTAAAAATGGGTTTTTCCCATTTTTGACCCTAAAAACAAAAAATTTTGCAATTTCTTTCCAAACCGTTTTGTAGAGCTTAAAAAAATAAATAATTTAGTATATTGAAGCGCTGTTGTATGTCTAACGGTCACGGAGAAAATTCAAAAATAGTGTAATTTAAAATTCCCATGTTATTCTTATGGAGAAATTGAAAATTGTTCCATTGCCAGGGAACGTTGTAATTGTTGCCAGCCTGTAGCGTGGAATGCCAGCTTTATTTTAGTGTTAGGTTGGTACTAAATATTCCCCTAAAATCCCGTCTGGCAATGCTTTTGTCCCGTTTTTGGGGATTTTCTCTATTCAAGCCATATTACAAAGACTCTGGTCAGAGGTGCCCATAACCCCCAAACCCAGAGGCGCAATCCCCCCCAAGCCAAAGGAGTAGTCCCCCCCCCCCCCCAATTTATGCTGCCGTCTATTTAAACCTACCCTCCCCTCACCAATTTGTCTGACAATTTTCCCTTTACCTCATAAAACAAGCATTTAAAGTATTTAGTAAACTTGAGGTACGAAAAACAAACTTGCTGATAATCAAAATTAAATGTTTAATATAAAACGTCATTTAACAATACATCAATATAAAAAAATCTAACTAATGGACGAATTAGAAGTTTTTAATTTACAATTCAGAATCTGTATTGTCAGCCAATATGTGTGCTCAGTATTGCAATAGACAATGTCTTCAAAACGTACAATATAGGCCTACTCGGTGAATTACTCTACTCCAACACAGTAGGTACTGAAACTGTACACTGTAACTGGGTAACTGGAACTGTACGGTGGCGTTAATTTTTACAGGGCTTAAGAATTCAAACAGCTTTAAGTGCATTGATAATACTTTGGCAAAAAGTATATTGTTTCACAATTACAGGTAGAGTCACGAAATAAGACAGACTTGTTGTTCGCCACTCCCAGGCTGCCTTCTAAAAAAATCGCCGGGCAAAATACCCACAATATCTCTTAATTGCCACCAGTAGGCCTACAAAAGGTTTTTGTGACGAAGTAATCTTATAATTCATTTTGATAGCCCCAGGGTTGCCTTTTATGACTAATAATGGTAGAAACGCATCTTGTCAGGCAATCCGTTTGTACAAAAAACACGAAACGATAACAGATAGGCCTATCAATTCACGCGTGTATATATTGCCGCGGGCAGGACTGGAAGTAAACTGAATCAGGTAATGACGGAAAGACATGGTCTCTGGATTGGTGTTTGTGTTATCAAAAGCTGACATTGGACTAATTCTAGTGACGGAGGAGAGTATTGAAAATATAATGGGATTCATAATTGATTTTTCCATTCAAAATTATTGACAATTATAACCAATTTATATGCTGGATATAAATGATGGTCTCGACATTCTACATTACTGCAGAAAAGGAAATTTATTAAATACTTTGAGGAGTTTGAAATATACATAAAACTATTGACAGCACAAAATCTTTTAGTGAAAACACTCAATTAATTATGAATCCCATTATATTTTCAATACTCTTCTCAGTCACTACAATAGTCCAATATCAGCTGTTGAAAACGCAGACGACAATCCAGAGACCACGTCGGTCCGTCATAACCTGAACCTGATTCAGTTTACTTTACTTACTTCCAGTCCTGCCGACGGCAATGTAGAAATTGACAGGCCTATCTGTAATTGTCTCGTGTTTTGTATAAATATAAAATGTTTGTCGTATTCTGACGACACCTCCAGAAGTGGATCTTTTTTAAATCCTGACGATGGTGGAGTTAAAAAACCACCAAAACATATGTAGCAAGTAAAATTTGACACTGGTATATTAAGGATTGTCTGGCAAGGTCCGTTTTTACCATTCTTAGAAGCTATCTTAATTACGAACGGCAAAATGTTGTTGGTG